GGGTGTCAAGCTCATCCTTACAGTCATAGGGTTTGTGCATACGGTGTCAAGTTCATACTTACAGTCGTAGGGTTTGTGCACAGGGTGTCAAGCTCATCCTTACAGTCATAGGGTTTGTGCACAGGGTGTCAAGCTCATGCTTAAATTATAAACTGATTTCTGACTGGTTCACTTCTGCCATAGGTTTGTGCATAAAATGCATGGCTTATTTGTTATAATGCATTGCAAATATCAAAAAGGTTTATTAGTTTCACTTAAAAAGCTCATACCCTAGGTCAAGATCCCAAGATTTTACCAAAACAGTCCTGAAACTCTCTATTACAAATGTGCCCATTGTGGGATTCAGTGGGAACTGAAGATGCCAATGATAGTGGTTAGGCTTACTTACATTTGGGAAGAAAAGAGAAAGTTCCTGTTCAAGTTGGAAACCGCCCTGCATGTCACAGAGTTTAAAGTTGCTATTTTATTATTGTAGCAATGCGAACTGTGGGCTGATATGTTCAGGGACAATATAAAGTGCATGTATGTATGTCATAACATGCTGGCCAAGTTACCATTCATAAATTGAGCATGGTTAGCGACTGTCTCATGAACATTGCAAGATCCAGTGGCCATGACCAAATCAGGTTGTAAAACAGACCAGATGTCATCAGTGTTATGCCTGAATATTAAAATATAATTTCTAGGTACGTATTATCATTTACATGTATTCATTTCATTTTGTGTACACGTAGGTATAACCAATTCAGTCACAGCAGGGAAAAAGTTGATGACATCAACCACAGAGGGAATTGACCTTGGAAGGTAAATCTCATACTGTTTACTATGGAATGCCAAAGAGGCAAAACTTGGAGGCAACACATCAATCATTCTTCAACACTGATCGATCGTTCTTCTACATTGATCAGTCATCAATCGATCGGTCTTCTACATTGCTTGATCGATCTCTTTCAATTGATGAAGAAAGAGCAATGAAAAAAGTGCAGTGGAAAAAGTGTGATGAAAAAGGTGCAATGGAAGAAGTGCAGTGAAAAAGACCAATGAAGTTACATCCGCTTTCATTACCCATTGGTCTGATCTGAGTCAGTTGAGTTGTCAGGCGGGTGTTTATGTCTGGTTTCCATGGCATGAAACCACTACAAGAATATTTCTGTTTCCCCAGGATGGGACGCCAGTCCAGATGGGACGCCAGTCCATATGGGCTGCTCCGTAGCCACTGTGGGCACGTAATTCTTACTCTTAATGACTTGAATTTTCTTTTTCACATTAAGAACATCCCAGCGGAACCGGCAGAACTATTCTGTCAGATGCTGCTCAAAGAGTCAACCCTCCTAAAGCTGTCAAAGGAAGTTATTCTTTGTTAATTCTGGAAATTGCCTAAGTGACACCCTCCTCTGGCCGCAACGAATCATTGCATTGAGTTGAACATGCAGAACGTAATATTTAATAATATATAATATTTCAGTGTATTCATTAATTGACAGAATGATTCCACCGGTTCAGTCGGAATGTTATTAGTGTGGAAGACCAAATTTGAGTCATTGAGAGTAAGAATGGGTTCCGGCAGTGGCTAGGGATCAAGCAACCCATAACAAAGCAGTACCCCATAGGGGAAAAGAGAAACATTCTTGTAGTTGTTTCATGCCAAGGAAACCAGATACATGTATAAACACCCACCTTACAACCCAATAGGCTCAGACCAGACCAACGGCTAATGAACATGGATGGCTTTGAGTGCTGGTAGGCTGTTACGGGGAACACATTTTATTTGTTACTGGAAGGGGTTGCATAACCTTGGCATTGATGTAACATCATTTACGTTTTTTTATCGCACTTTTTCCATTGCCCTTCATCAATTCAAAAAGAGATCTACTGATGTAGAATACTGATTTATCGATGTAGAACAACAATGATACAGAAAACAATAGATCAATGTAGAAGAACAATTGATCGATGGAGGGAAATGATCGCTCAATGTAGAACGAACAATCAACGTTGAAGAATGATCGATGTGTTGCCTCCAAATTTTTGCCTCTTACAAGCTCCATAGTTTACATTTTATTACTTATAAATTTACAACACTTGTGTCTGTCATGCGAGGCAGATCAGGGGTTGTCTGTATGGATAGAGATTGTATGTAACAGCAATATCCCACATCCCATACTTCATTATTTGGGAATGCGCAAATAAACCTTAGCCCAATCTTTATTCTGAAAGACATGACTTCTGTTCATTTGCTTGTTATTAGCACAGGCAAATTACAGATATAAGCAAAAGTGAGCCTGCAAAAGAGTGAAACACTGTTTTCAGTTGATAAACAGATTCTGGCATGACCTCTTTCTCTCTCGAAAAAGTGTTAAAAGGATGAGAGTTTGTTAGTATCACTACATATACATGTATACACGTATATACACGTACTGTATGATGGTTTGGATGTAATGGTTAGCCAATGAAATCACAAAGTTTGTAAAGACACAGCGTGAGTTCATGTACATGTACCATTTGTACATACATGTACATTATCTCCCCTTTGTGAGTTTGCTCGTGTCTTAGTAAAACTGGTCAACTTGATATTTTGAGATGATGTAATATTCATCAAGGGAATGTTGGACTTATGGACACGTATGAAGACTTGAAGAGACTTTGGGCACTGCAGTGAAGGGACTGAATATCCATAGCACCTCCATCCATATCCACATCTTCTGAAACAATGAGATAACCAGTTCTCAGGACACTGCTACCAAAAATACACATACACTGTACATGTACATGTCTTCTACGTGGTTTTACTGCAGACTGGATGACTTACATGTAACTGTCTACTTTTGCATGGTGATAATTAATAATACAAATGATTGCATTCTTTATAATAAATTTACAAACACAATACATGGTGATAATTAATAATCATTAATTATTAAATATTATCATCTTATTATTAGACATAGTGATGCATAATTTTTACCATGCTTAACTGCACCAATGCTTAAATATTCTATTTGGATTTTTTAAAAATTTTATTTAGTACATACATTCACCTTCTCTGTAAACAATGCAATGAGGTGGTTGGGAGGATCTATAAGACAACATCCAGACAACTAGACAGTCTACGTGATCTCTACACATTCTCTGCTCATCAGATTTCAAGGTAGGACTTCTTGAGCAGTTAGTCATTTAGAAAATCAACACTAGAAGTTGCTGATGTGGTCTTAACCCTAACAGTCCTCAATCCTTCAATTTCAACATGATTTTGCATACACCCAAGGGGGTTAGGGGACTTTGCATACCAGTCCAGAAAATTGTCAGTAATCCAAGTCTTTATTCAAGATGTTACCACAAGGGTTGATGTTATCATAGCAAGAATCATCTCTAACAAGTACGCCTATCAGAGTTATAAAGGACTGCATGTAAATGTATGTGTGTACATGTATGTATATCAATTTTAAAATTAGTATCAGAAAAAAATCATTTTTGTGGGGATTATAAATGTGAAGGTTTTCTTTTTTGGCGTGGGGTTGGACACTAGTCTTGCTGTCTTGTAAAGTACATGTACTGTAAGTATAATCATGTTTTAACCACATTTATTTGCAGGGGATACAGAACACTAAATGATTCTCATTGTGGGTCAAAAGTACATGTATGTTGTTGAAGTATTTTTAATTATTTATTTTAAGTGTTTTTAATAATTTGTTTAATGAAGCTGGGAACATGTTGTTCCTTTGTTTTATGCAGTTACCAAATTGGATCTGGACAGCAAAGAGCCAGTGTTGGTCTACAAGACATGCTAGATCTACCAACAGCAAAATCCTTGAAAGATTCCATCTTGAAAGTGAGACTTTTCAAAATTTCTTGTCCTAGCATTGTAGTTACAGATGTAGTGGAACAGTCTCTCCAGTTTCTTGTCCGTGTTCTTCTGTGCTCAGGTACAGCAGAAGTTTGACCTCTAAGTGTCATGAATGTGTGTGACAGCTGTCTATCAGTTGTCTATCACTCCCATATCAGCCTGTACAGTCAGAGTAGGCAATGTTCCAACTCAAGCTGAACAAGAAACCTTTTGACCTTCTAGGCACAGATCTAGGACCTACCAAGATCAATGGATGCTGACAATATTTATACATAACTATCTACCTGTAGTTACAAGTTAAAAGTGTCATTGATTGTGCATTTCTTGAATATGATTCTGAATTTTACCCAAATATTTTTTCGTTATTTTTGACTTCATACAGAGTCATGGGGATGTATACAGTGTAGTTTAAATGTTCCCCAATTTACCTGTAGTCGCTACTGGATAGAATTGTCCCGTTAGACAACTACTGTAGCTTTCTTATACCCTACTGCATGCAACAGTTGTTTCTTGTTTTTGCCATTATTCCTCCTTCAGCTTAAAAAAAAGAGTGAAAAAAATGGCCAAGCTAAATTAAGCTAAACTGATAACATGCTGATAATATATGTGCAATACTGTCTACATATGTATTTAATCTCTGTGTTAAGGTGAGAGTTTTTTTTTATTTGTTGGTGCTCGAATCCACCAACCTTCCAGATTCAGAACTGGAAAAAATAAAAAAAAAAATTATTTTGAGAAGTCTCAGATCCAGCAACCAACAATGTACCGGTGTAAATGTAAAAGACATTTTTTTTTTTTTGCTCTGCTGTCTGACCGACGGCGAAGTCCGCTGATTGCACTAGTGGTAAGGGATACCGGTACCTCTTTTTTTTATCACTTGGACATCGTTATCGGTCATTCCGTGTCAATTCAATATGTTTTTGGACCTTACTGTCACAGGTTAATTCATTGTGCTAATTGGATTCCATGAGAAACCCCCAGAACCCAAATTTGATGTCAATTAGTTTTTAAGATATGGGTGCACAAACTTTTGACTAATTATCCGGTTAGCTTGACCTGCTTTGTTTGGATAGCCATATCTTGTGAAGTAAAGCACCAGTATTTATATACATTATTATAAAGCTCTTGAAATGGCCTTCAATAATAGAATCAAATCAAAACTATTCAAATTGTTATGCAAATGTATTGCTTCTGACCTTGATTTGCAAAAATGTGTATTTTTAAAATGCATACTTTCTTTTATTGTTAGGTTAAGATGTAACCAATATTTCCGGAAAGATTTAGGATGGGCACTCTTATAGTTTCTGAGTTATGTTTATTTGAACCTTGCCCAAACTGAAATGTATACATATACATTGAATTGTACATGTACATTGTAATGTAGGACTGTATATATGTACATGTACATAAAAACCATGTCACTGTGGTCGTGCAAAGTACCATTCATACCTCATGAGACTGACTCATGAGATAATCACTCTTACCCACTCAATTAGAAAAACTGACCAGTGGCCATAGCATTTGACCCTGAAAGAGCCAGGTTATTTTGGACCTCCCCCCCCTTTTAAGCTTGGCATGCATGTAGAAATGTTTATTATCAGTACCACTGTGAATCTTCAACTGACAGATGGCTTTGTTGTTACGGCCATTTGAAATTTAAGGCCTCATTTTTGTCATTGTAAGTGTATTCAGGACATATAATCTCTGGTTGACCTGTCCCGGAAAAATAAGTGCTGCGTGAGAATGGTACATGCACTTTGATTTTCAAAAATTAGTGTAAAAATGACAAACAGAAATTACTAAAAAATTACTGAAGGCTCAGTGCGTGAAAAAAAGCACTGTGATGGTATGAGGGAAAACTCCCCTTGCTTCTTTTAAGGTTTAGCTGGTAACAACCATAAACATTGCACTTGATGCAACAATGGCACGTGGTGATGACCAGTGTTTCAAAGCCTTCCAATGAGGGGGATTATCTCATAAGTCATGTCATGAAGTACACTTTGCACTGCCAGGGTAACATGGCTTTTAACTGTACAGAGCTACATGTATACATGCACATTACACTTTATATGCACATGTACATGTACCTTTTCATTTTTTTGGCCAAGGTTCAAATGAACGTACATGTAACTTATAAATCTTACGAATGTTCATCCTAAATCTTTGTAGAAATGTTGGTTACATCTTTAGCTAACAATTAAAAAATTAATGCATTTTGAAAAGTTGCTTTTTTGCAAATCGAGGTCAAAGGTTATGTGTTTGCAAAATTTTTTGGTGGTACATGTACGTGGGATGATTTTGATTTTATTGTAGAAATGAAAGTGATTTCAGAGCTTTAATCTCTTTTATCTCTGTGGGCGCTTTACTTCAGGAGATATGGCTGTCCAAACGAAGCAGCTACATGTAGGTCAAGCTAATTAAGTCAACAGTTTGTTAACCCGCACCTCAAAAACTAATTGACTGATTGAAATGAAATTTCGGTTTGGGGGGATTCTCAAGGAATCCAGTTAGCACACCAGTTTTTGTTTCACTCTGTGAGGTCAGGTCCAAAGTTTGTTGAAGTGACATGGAATAACCCTTTTTGTTTTTCTTGAGACCACAGAAGCTCTTTTTTTCCATTCTCCTCTAAAATTTGTCTTTACAAAAATCTGATTTCCAACTTATAACAAATGCTCACCTAAGCACTCATTGCACATTACTAAACATTAGGTGTGAAGCCTTAGAATGGTTGCCATGGAACAGCTCTTTCAAAATTACTTAACTGTTAATATGAAATTTTTTGCTCTTCTGTTAGACCCAAGTGATGATTTGTGCCTTGAATAATCGCATATTGAACATTGAGAATGCTCTGGAACTCAAGGAAGATGCTGAAGAACCTGCTGACATTCCAGCCTCAGGACACTACAACACCCCAAATGATCAGGACAACACAGCAGGTGGCATGAATAGCCATATCCAAACCAAGAAACTATCAAACAGTCAACAAGATCTGACTGCTGCTGTAAGCAGCATAGAGGAGAAAGAAAGCTCAGGGACAGTAAAGAAGGGGAAACAATTCATTGCTGGCAAACGCTCCAAGGAAACTAGTACAGCCACAGGAAATAAACGATCTCGCTTCAAGTGACTTTTTAGAGAAATAACATGAGTACTAACAACGCAAGCTTCCTGGTTGTTTATTGTTCAATTAATGCATTTTGGTAATGAAACCATGGAAAGGCATCTTTTCTTATTTTACACTGAATGTATAAAATACCTATGATGTAGCATAATTTGGTCACTTGTCCATATCCATGCCCCCCTGTCTTTGAGTGACCACAAGAGGGTGCTATTTCCCACAGTTTTTGGCCTGGGTGCATAGACTACACTGATGACCTCATTGCTAGTCCAAAATGTGTACTAGCCTGTCACACTCCCCAAATTGTACATTGCCTTAATTTGGCATTAACATGTAGCACTGTTGACATAGCAACTAGCAGTCCATGCCATGCATGTTTTCATGTGTGTGAGTGCATGAAGTGCACTGTACAACAAAATTCACTGGACCAAACCTGTTTGTTTGTTGGGGACATTGTAGAAGTGTATGTAACATGGGAGTCATCCCCCCACTTTATTTGTGATGGACAAAAAATTAAAGAGGATTGTGAAGAATTGTTTGGACTCCCCAACGACTGAAATGTATTTAATATCACTCAAAAAGGGGAAAAGAATAAGAAGCCACGTACATGTATATGCCATTCTGATGTAAGATTCTGCAGAAATGTAATACGTTGAGATGTACATGTACAGATATAAATCTTTACCGGTATGTATCATGAATATCGCCCCCTACGTGTATATATAGTGCCATATAGTGTCAACCGCCTCCTTCACCTGGTTTTGATTTCAAATTTCCATTGTTGGGCAACCCCCCACTTAAATTCCTATGGTTTAATTGACAAAGTTCATATATTTGAATTGTGTTTTATCTTTGGTTGAGTTGTGTTAACCTTTACTTGATGTCTGTGCTTTTGTTTGCCTACTGTTAATATACGTGGTTTCTGTTGACTGCCAGCTTGCATATATTGGATTTAGCACCAGCAATTGATCCACTTTAAGGACTTATTAATTTTTAAATAATGCGATCTTGTAATGATGATCGTTGGCTTGTTTTTTCAAGTGCTCCCTGAAGTAGCTCTTGTCAGCCATTTATATGGAGGTTGCTTATACAGTTGTAGCTCTATGCTTATACGGTTTTGTTTTACAATTGCATTGGATTTGCTATGGCTATATCTCAACTACATGTACACATTACACATACTGTACGTGTAGTCCAAAAGTAGTTTGCATATGGCAATTCCTTTCTAAATATGTATGCTAAAGTTCTGGATCTGATGATGACTATGATGCAACTTGCCCTCTCAATTCTGTCAGTAGTTTTGTTCAATTCTTACCGGGAACTTTCTTAAAATTTATATAATTACCTGTCTTGATGATGGTGGCAACTGCGTTTGTATTCAAATCATGCTATTCCTGTGTAGTCTGGAAATACCCATGTTTCCACATGTAAAGTTGTGACCAAAAGTTTACATACCCTTTAGCAGAATACAGTTTTATTCTCTTTATACTTGTTTTCTCTACTATAATCATTTGTTTCATTTCTATAATTTTGACCATTCTCCGTTTTTTCCATCATGGGTTAATGCACCTTTTTCATTTTGGATGAATTTACTCCAAATTTCACCCATGACGTGACAAACATTTGGATCCACAGTTTATATATGGCACCCACCAATATTGTCAAATACTTTCTTTTTCCAAATAACTTGTCAGTCGTACAGGATAACCATGTATCAACAGCTTACAATACTCTGAAAGGATTTTTGCCCACTCTTCCTGACAGGATTGATAGTTTTCAGTCAAATTGGTGGGTTTCCCGTCTTTTGCAATTCATCCACAAACATGCTGTTGGATTGAAGTCCAGGCTTTGAGCCCACCATTGCAAAACATCAATCTTGTTCTACTGAAGCCCTCCAACAACCAACTTGGGAATGTGCCTTGGATTCTTGTCATGTTGGAAGTTCCAGTGAGGTCGAAGGTTCAGCTTTCAAGCAGCCAGTGTCAGGTTCCCTTGGAGAATTTCGAAGTACGTGTAGTCTTTGTTATTCATGGTGTCATCAACAGTATCTCATACAGGGCTCCTGGACCATGAGTAGCAAAACCTTCCTACAGCCTGATGCTACTGTTACCATGTTTCAGTGTGTATGGTGTTCTTCAGTTCAAAGGTCTCTCCCTTCTCTTGCCAAATGTACTTCGGGTTATATGTGATCAGTATCTTCATGTTTTCTTGTGTATTTCAGCCAGCTTCGCAGTAACAATTTTAAGGAGTGGCTTCCTCCTTGCAGGTGTGTGATTGGAGGATTGTGAAGCCAATACGGTGTGGGGTCTGGGGCCCGCTTAAGGGTTCGGAAAATTGGTAGATGCTCTGTGGTGCATTCTAAGCCTCTCTGGGGCATGTTTTAAGCAAAAATATTTTGAAGTTACTGCCCCTCATGAAGTTAACTTTGTACTGTAATTTTAGCAACTGTGGACAAATTGGATATTAATATTAATAATATTAATTTCAATTAATATTTCTAATTTTATTTTAAGGATTTCAGTCCACTCTTGAGAAAAATGTGAACTTTTCTAAGTTGTTTTTGCACATAAGTTCCACTAAAACAAAACAAGACTTAAAATAGATAATACTCCACTCATTGTTCATTCATTCTCTTTTGTGTTTATTTCCGTTTCAAAGGCACTTGTGACATTGAAAATTATGTCTCCAGAGCACTGATAACAAGTGATAACACTTCATGTGATCCAAGGATACATGTACATTATTTTCTCAATACTATCTGCTGGTGCTAGTGTTGGATTTCTTTTTCTCCTGCGTGGTCTTCGCCAAATATTGAAGAACCCTGGTCCTTGCCTTCTTCCCCTGCTGGTTCAGGTGGCTGATCTGTTCCAGTTTGCTCTTTTCATCCAGGGATTGTTTGGCAGCTTTCTTGCTTTGCAGGGCTTTCTTAATTTCCAGTACCCTCCATTGTTTTCCCCTCTTGTCTCTTAGAAGTTTCAACTTCTGATGATAGACAGAACTTGAATTCCTAATGTTCCTGCACAAGGTTCTGTCCACTGGTTCCTTCAGTGTCTCCTTCCCAAAGAACTCAATGGCTGTTGTCCTCCTTGCCCACAGAGTATACTTGACACATTGAATGGCCCCCATATGTATCCACCTTCATCCTAATACTTTTACATCTCATCACTCATAGTATTAAAGGAAGATTCAACCTGTCAATGCAAAATAGAAATGTAGTTACTTTTTAAATTAAACTTCCAATGCTAAAAGTACCGACCTGTAACAGTTCATGAAAAATCTTTAGTCTTTACTAAAACAATTTTGTAGCACCATAGGCATGTTCAGGTAGATGTACATGTACTCATCTGTGGGCCTGAGAA